CTGTTAGAACATAGGTGTATTTTGATGATTTTTTTAAATTAAATTATTTTAATACTCATCTCTCTCTTAACTTGTTACTTAAATCTTGATTTATTGGTATTAAAGCCCACATTCGGAATAGTATTCCTTGTCTTATTCTTTGTTTTCTTTGGTTTGAGGGGGACAACTCTATTTTCAATGGGGTTAGGATGAACCGTATCAATGTTACCCAATGGGTCAAGGACAAGATTTTGGCTCTTGTGAATGTTAACTTGCCTCAAAAATTATTATCGTATCACCTCTTCTTTGGGGATGGTTGGATGAAGCCTTCTAATGCTTTCAAGGTTGTTTATTAGATAAAGCCTCCTCCTAATGTTTTTAAACTTAATGTTGAGGGTTCTTGTACTGGTTGTGGTGGTCTAATCCGTAATAGTAATGGCCATTTGATAATTGCTTTTGCGGGCCCGACTCACAATGGTAAAATTGATTATGTTATTGGTTTGGCCATCCTTTATGGTATCCAACTATGCATTCCTTTGAACTTAATCAATATGGTTATTGAAGTGAAATCTAAGTATAACATTTCTCCTTTTCAGGATTTAGATAAGGCGTGTTGTAACCCAAACATATTCTATGTGGTTAGGGAAATTAACAGACTTTTATTATATGTGAATCATTCTTTTTGTCATGTTGGTAAGACTGCCAATTCCTGTGCTTCTTGGTTGGCTAATTTTGGTTGCAACCTTGATTATTTTTCTGATTTTATTCCTTCTAATATTCCTACCCCATTTAAGGGTTTACTTCATCTTGAAGCGTGTGGTATTCCCTATGTCTGCACTTAACTTTGTGTTTTGGTTCTGGCTGGTTTGGGTTGTTTGGCCTCTAGCCATGTCTGTTTTCTGGATTTGCCTGTTGGGATTTGCTGTTTCTGTATTTTCTGTGTTGCTGGGTTAATTTTATGGTTTTGGATGTTGGCTTTGTCCCCTCTAGCCTTGTGTAGGTGGCTTTGTTGTTGTCCTTTTCTTGAATCCTTCTTGGATGCTTGGTACTTGTTGACTGCAGATTATTCTCTGCTGCCACCGGGTTGTCGGGTTTGTTTGTTGGGAGGTGTTATTTTGGCCACTCATCCTGTTTGACTCTACATTTCCAGGGCCCTTTTCTCTGGATTGCTGGGAGTTTTTTGTTGTGCCTGCTTGGCCTTACAGATTATGATGCTGCTCATGATGTAAATCTTCTTTGTTGCCTGTTTCTCGTGTCCAATGTTAATGCTAAAGTCATTGTGAATTTCGACTTTAGCAATGATTTTACTGGTTTATATGCTGATAGTTCAACCCGTTGTTGCTCTTCTACCTTCTATTAGTGGAGTGTTGGGGGTAACTGTGGTGATGTGCCTGGGATTTATGTTATTGCTGCTGTGGTTTTTCGGTGGCAGTCGGACTGTAGGTTGTTATATTTACTATTTATTGTTTTTGGGAGGTTTGATATGGTTAGTTTCTTCTACCTTTTGTTGTTGCCTAATGTTAGTTGGCTGCATCTGAGTTCAGTTGACTGCTCTTTATTATTGGTTGGCTGGTATGATTATGAGAAGTGGTGTAATCAGTGGATGGGCTTATTTGGGGTGGATTTTGGGGTTTATGAAGGTAGGATTGAGAGGCTTGTGGATGTTCCAAATGAGGCTTTTTGCAATTTATTCCTGAGCTCGCTAAGTCCTAATTCCAATTTTGGCTTTACTTGGCACATCCTTTTTTGCATTACCTTCTTTCATACTACTCATTTATACCTTTGTGATTATCTCACTTGGTGGTGGTGGTGTAGGTTTTTGGTTTGCAACTTCTTATTTTTGCAGGTGGATCGTTGTTTGAAGCAACTTTAGGATTTTTGGAGAAAAATTGGGCTTCAATGTTATCTTCTTCTCTTTCTTTTTTGGATGCTTGTCTATAGCATCAGTAGCTTGTTACTAGGTTCTTTACCTTTTTGTTTTGGGGAGTTAATTGGCTCACAGGTTTTTCTTTGCTTTGTTTTATAGCTCTGCTGAGCAATAGTGAGCCGATGAACTCCTTTTTGACTCTATCTTTGGTTCTTATTTTTAACACGTAAGCCCCCTCGTGGTTGTTTTAAAAAAAATGCATATAAATCAAAAAGAAATCCCTATATAGTCCCTACATTCAAATTTCTTTCCTAACTCCCCCAAAAATACTTCTTAAATAGCTCACGCATGCCTGGGCATGCATTTGACACGTATAGGAGGCGGAAATGTCCTACCTATCGAACTTCACCTTTCTAAAATCTATTTTATTCCCCTTCTTCTTCTTCCTAGCTCTCTATTTTTTCTTATTTATCTTCTATTACTTTTGAATAGATTTGATGAATAAGAATAAAAAAGAAATTATTGGTGTCCCTTTCTTAGTATTACAAAGAGTAGAGAGACTCTATCTACAATAGTTCGTTCATCCAACTCTGAGTAATTAAGCAATTAATATCTCTCTTTTGTTCTCTAATAAACTTTTTTTCAAAATTAAGTAGGATTAGGATAGTTTAGTTATTTATTAATACTAATGCACTTTTATTATAGATTATAGATTTAGCTTTTTTTCTTTAATTACCCATGTTCTGCTTAATCATTTTGTTTGAAATAAAGGAGGATTATGTTGGTTTAATCATCTGTTAATACTAATATGTCCTTCCAATGGAGTACATTTAGCTCTTTGTTTAATTATTTTCTGAGTGATTAAGAGATTAATATCCTTGTCTAGTTCTCAAGTATTTTTTTATGATTAATTAGTAGGAATAGTCCTTATTGTTACCGAATCATTATTACACCTATTGATAAAGCCACCGATCCCGACTGCTAAAAAAATTTCTTATAATTTCTTTTCATTAAGCATATTCTCTCCTCTTTTTAGCATCTAATGTCATTTTTCCTTCTATTGAAATGGTTAATATGGCATCTGAAACTAAAGAACCTTATTTTTAACTCCTCTAGAATAAAGCTAAATTGTGATTTCTTATCAACCAAGCAAAAAAGAGAAAAAAAACTATTCTTTCTAAGAACAATGGAAGATCCATGAATTAAGTCTTTCTATTGTGATAACGGCCTTCAAAATTCCTAAATAAATTTGTTTCAATATTTTTAAAAAGAGATAGTTTATATCCTCTTATTTATTCGATATAAAAAAACATGCATTGATAATGGTTATACTTTCATCTTTTAAGCCTTTTTTTTTAGGGAATCTTGTGTATATTGTCTATTTTTTATATTATAAATAAAATGTATTTTATTCTTCATAATTTTAACATTTTTCGACCAAATAAATTTTAAGTGATATACATAACTCCGCATTTTTATTTTTCATGAAAATGATCTAAATCAGGTGATTCTAAAACATTTTTTTTACATTGAAGCTTCTTCATATTCCTACATATACCCTTACCTTCTTAGTGAATTTCTCAACAAACTTCTTAGTAGATTGGTTGATGCTCAACGCTCTCTTCAAAAGAGCATATTTCTCCATAATTAACTTTCTTTGTAAAAGATCTCTTATGCTCATTCATCATGAAGAAATAAGTTTGCTTAGTTATCAACAACATGCTTATCATATTCTTATGTAATTTAGTTGGTGAGATTTGTGGTAAATGCCTATGAAAATAATCTAACTTTTTTTGTTCTAGATAAAAGGTGGCTCAATATATTAAACATATTATTTGGCATTAAATAATCAGCGTTGGACACTATAACAATCACCATCCCCCATCGAAAGGTCAACTTGCCTCCCTCATCTTTAACTCATAATGCTCCAGTAATCCCATATACATTTAAAGAAATATGCATTTTATCTGCAATCAAATAATAAAATGAATTACTTTTTATTTGCTTATCTTCCCAACCAAAGAAATGGAGTAAAATATATTTCATCTTAATTCCTTGAACATTTCTATTGTCAAATAATGCCTAACAAAAAGAAGCAAGGAAAAGGAGCTCAAAATCATACCTTTCTCATGTGCTAACTCAACTAAGCTTTAAATAGTCTAAATAACTATGAATATATTTAAAAAATAAAAAATAAACTAAGCTTTCTGTTAAAATAGGATCATCATCTAAATGTTTTCACATAAGTTTAAAAATATCATAATAATCGCAATTTGATTGCATAATAGCACCAGAAAAAGTAATTCAAGAGTTATCAAATTATATATATTATCGAGCTCCACAATAAAATTTAGCTCCCTTGGTGATTGTCAAATGACACTTTCGCCAGGAATATAGCAATTGAAAGCACTGCAGTATGAATGTGCATGTATTGAGCAAATTTGGATAGTTAGTAAAATAAGTAAAAACAACAAAATAATTGAATTATGTAAGACATTGCAAAGAAAGATATTAATTTAGCAGCCTATGACCAATTAATTATCATCTTTGTAACATCCATATCAAAGGATGGTAATTTATTCTTAAATAAAATAACAACATCCAATACACAGCTTTTGAGTACAAAAGATGCAAGGAAACCATAATTAACTAAATAACAACAACATATATGTACAAAAAAGTATGTAGCAGCTCCCAAAGCTGCAGTAGCCTATAACAAACAAATTATATATATATATATATATATAACTTGCACAATTAATTTAGTTTATAAAGTTTTTAAAATTATTGTCAGAATCCCATTACAAATAAAAAGAAAAATTGAAATTTTCTATTAAGATTAAATGAAGCACAACCAACAAAGAGAAGAAGAAAACAAACAGGAGGATAAGGTTAACACTCAAAACACATACAGTGGAATAACAAAATTTACCAAATAAAGCTCTTATTAAAAAAGCAGAATATGAAAAACCAAAAGATCTTTAGGTACTACTGCAGAAGATTCCACAGGTGGCGTTGGCCAACCAAACTCTAGCCATTAAGATAATCAATTTGACACATTAATAAATAAAATACCTAAAAAAATGTAAAAATGAAGAGGAAATCTGAATATAATAGTCTTAAGATAAGGAAAATTGAATGTGAGGGCAGGTGATTAAATACAAAAATAATAATTCAAGAACATTGACAAATATTTCATAAATTAAACAATCAGTTCAATGTGCAAAAGAGGAAATTAAAGTATTACAAGAATCAGTTAAACTTCTGATAGATATTTTTTTTCTCACCTACCTTATCTAACTCACGAAATAGTAGAACCACTTCATACCTCTCCAACTTTCCCCCATCGAGCTCTCCTGATGTAAAAAACCAAAAATCCAAGAAGATAACCAACGATCTCGCACTGCTTACCACCACCGAGCTCTACCACTACAGAAAACCAAAAATCCAAATGACAACCAACGAATGCGGGAGTTCAAAATATTGGAATTCAAGAATAGTTTTGCTGGGAATACCAACAGTGTTTAGAGATGCAAGGTCACAATTTAAAAGAGAAATACACATGGATAGATAGTCTTAATTTCATTAAGAAGCTTGTGAAATGGGTGAAAGATTGTTACCTTCACATAAAAAGTCAAAAAATATTTATAAATGGAGAAGAGGAAAAGAAAACATGTTTACCTATGAGCAAAGCAGAAAAAGTCAAACATCTTGTTGCGCATCTCCGAAGAGCTCCCGTCGTGGCTTATGATCTGACAGGACATATTAAACAACAATGAAGAAATGGATAAGAGGTAAAGAAAACCCGTTCACCTATGAGCAAAGCACGTGAAGTTGAACATCTTGTTGCACTCCTCTGAAGAGCTCCAGTCATGGCTTCAGAACTCCTCATGTGAAGCAGAAAAATGAAATGAGAAAGAAGAAATAAATGTGAAGACAGTGGAATTTGAAGTGGCATGTTAATGTTATTAAGTTACAGAAGGTGAATGGACCAAAATAATTTGAGTGGAGTGAGCGAGAAGAAAGATATCTAGAAATTATGGAGAGAGGGGTAAGCTGAAGAGTTTCATGTGGCTCCAAGTGACTGGAATGACATCGATTGCGCTTCGTTCCGCCAGTCGTCCTTTCATCGTCTCGAATGAGGTCTACATAAAGAATAATTAATTATATGAGTATTATTTTTTTAATTTAATAATTATTTATAATATGATGAATGGTCAAGGAAATTTAAGAAAAATTTAAATAGATGGTCAATATTTGTTGGGGAAGGAAACTTAAGCCCCTTTTATAATAATGGTATAGATATACATTCTAAATTTGAGCATGATAGTGCTTATTATGAAATATAATAGCTTAAGTCAAAAATAATTATGGATGTAAATAATATAATACTTTATCTTTATCTGTATCATTAACATGAGCTAAGAGAACTCCAAGAAATTCCATTAAAGCTGCTATTTACAGAATTGAAGGATTCCTTGAAATAGTGGCTACTAATATAAGTAACCTCTTGAACAAGTAGGTTAGTTAGGCTTCATATGGGATAGCATTCTTACTAATTTCTAAAGTAACTTTTAAGTACAAAAATTTATTGGACTATAAATTTTTGTATTAAAAAAGTTATTTTAGAAAGCAGTAAGACGACTATCAGCCTTAGTTCAGAAGCTTTCCAAAATTAAATTTGATATTTTAAAATTAATTTTCAAATTTTTAATATAATACTTCAATTACATTTAGCTAAATATTTACATCAAAATTAGCTTATGAATTACACACAATATTTCTGAGCAAAGACTAGACGCAAAATAATGTTTGGAGACCAACCAGAATGCATCACATTAACAGTATCGAGATGTGGTACCTAGCACATGGTTGATGTGACACATTGTGGTTGGTCTCCAAATGGCGTTAGGCATTTGCACAGAATAATTAATCTCTTTTATGACCCCAACCAACTTTTTTTCTTCCCATTCTCTGTGTATAAAACTTTTATTTTATTCACAATATTTATTTTTAAATGAATTTACATATTTCTAAAATTTATGAAATTTTAAATACTTCTCTTAAGCATTTTCTCTTTTTTAAGTGAACCTTGATTTCATTAGCCTTTGTGCTATAGATAAGTATATTCCATTAGTAAAATTTGATGTATAATTTCAGGATAGCAGCAATCCTAATGAACATGGTGAAATGATGCTATGCCCTAAAGTTTGGAGAAAATTATTTTTCAAAAATCATGAATAAATTTATTATTTCTCATCATTAAAGAAAAACTTTTATGATTTATTATTAAGAAAATCTTAATTAATGTAGCCATACCACTACTTTATTTTGAAATAACATAATGCATAGCTGTTGTGGCAATCGATTCTGAAAGGTCAACATTTAGGCTTCATTTGGGACAAATTTTTTATACAAAAAATTCTATTGGACAAAATTTGCTCTGGATGACTCTTTTATTGTGACATAGATTCTAAGAAACTCCATACAACTTCCTTGAAAACTACTTGCTTTCCTAGGAGGCATTGGGGTCTTAGCATACCTTCTATATCTATTATATCTCATGATTTTTTCTCCTCACTCAATTGGAGAATCATGAATGGAGGATCTTTTCTTATAAATTGGGTTAAGGGGAAATACTTGTTTATTTGGAAGTCTCCCCTCTCCAAATCCTCTAAATATTGGAAGATTACATCTACCACTGCTACTAATATTAAGAGCCAGATTGTCTTTATCATTACACCCAATAACTCTGTCTTCTCTATGGGATACTTGGTGTGATGGCAGCTCCATTGCTAACCTTTGGGGCTCAGTTGATTTTGCCCATTACTTTCATCTCTCTGTTGTTGACTTTATATCTCAGGGGGTTTGTCTTATCCCAGCCTGCTTCCCACCTCTTCTCATAGCTACGATTATGATTACTACTATAATTTCTCAATGCAAATCATGTTCAAGCTAGGATGATGTGGATTTTCCTTCTTTTAAGTCCTTTTCAATGCATTTATACCAACACTTACCTCTAGCGGGATGGCATGATTGTTTGAATAGTTGCTATTTGAATGAGTTATATTTATGCAACTTATGTAGTTTTGATGATTCCAAACATTATTGTTCAAATGTATAGTTATCTCCTAACAATTTCAGAAGATTTGCACTTGCTCTTGTGTGTACTAACATTTCAAGAATTTACTATCTGGTAATTTGCTGCTCCATTTACTCTATTTGGAAGGAAATGAATAATGAGAGATTCAACTCTAACTTTGGGAGTATTCCAACTGAGTGCTTCAAGGTTAAAAATGATGTTGGGTAGAAGTTATCTAAATGGAAGCATGGGCAAATTCTGAGAGGCTTTTTGAATACTAGTCTATGAGGTAAACTTTTTCTATCTTCTTTTATTTGGTTGTTTTACTGGGAGATTGGTGGGTCTTCACTGGATATGTTAAATTTTGTCTATTCCTTTATCATGTTATTACTTGGATGCTCTTCTTAAGGGATTTGCATTCATATGTTGGTAGATTTTTCATAGTCTCCTGGGGTTTCAATAGTGGCTACTGGTTTATGCATAATGATTTTCTTGGTCCAGCGGGAAATTACTTTGCCATGGATGATGATGATTTTCACATCCATCCCCATGCCCCTCCCATTTGGTGGTCATCTTGGCAATCAGGGGAGTCCATATATTGATGACAAAAAGTTGAAACACATATTTAATTTGTTGTATTTTTTATTTTATAGTTATTTTAAACCCGAGTCCTGGCATCATGGCATCTTGGGTCCTTCATTTCATGGCTTTCACTTTTTTTGGCATTTCTTATGTAACTACTCTTCTGATTTAACTAGAAATTTTTTTTATTTCTATTTGTTCTTTGATTTTTCTATTATGTTAGTTAAATTTTCATTTTTTGGGGTGATTTCTGGATGAGCTATGCTTTTTTTAGCAGTTCAACTTCAATTCTTACTGTTATTCATACTTATAATTTGGTTTTCTTTTGATTAATACAAAGGCTAAGCCCGCATAAAAAATAAAAAAAATAAAAAACTACTTTAGAAGCAAATAAGAAAGCGTCAAAAAGGAGAAATTATTATGTGCGCATTCCGGACATAGAGCTACGTTCGGATGCCAATAAAACCCTTACGCGTGGTGTGCTTACATGGAAAGTACGGGATATTCATTTGACTTGCTACTTGACCCAGTCCAAATCATTTGTCTTGCAGCCCGACCCGGGCCAAACATTAAATTTAGCGTTGGCCCTTCTTTTTTTTAGGATTTCAAGCGCGAATCACCTCAATATATAACGCTTTTAACAAAAAAAATTGTAGAAAAAATGCCAATGAAGATGAAGATTGATCTAGAGGATGATGTTTCTTTTTATGAGCAAACAAAACTCTCACAGGGCTCGAAGGAAGCCGAAAACTTGAATGCAGATGTCCAGGTAATGAGCTTCCTAGAAGAAAAACAGTTAAAAGCAGTGCGACCGGAGGTAAAGTTTAGCTTACTGATAAAGTTCACCTCCTTCCATGTTTTCTTAATAGCAAAGTTTCCATTAACTTTCTTTATAGAGATGTTTCTTTTGATGTATTTACTGCTTTTTTATTGCGTATAAATTACGTTCCATATATAATTGATTTTAAAAGAAGGGACCATCATCTCATAGGTTTTTATTTCTTAATTTATTTTTTATCTATTTCAAGAAGTAGTGAGCTGAATGTACCTTAAGGACTTTGTAGAACATTTTACGCATTTGTTGCGCATTTGTTGCGTATATATTATGTATTCATTGCGTATGTATTGTGTATTCATTTCATATTTATTGTGTATGTATTGAGTATTTATTGTGTATTTATTACATATTCATTGCATATTTATTTTGTATTTATTGCGTATACATTGTGTATTTATTGGGAATTTATTGTGCTTTTTTTGCGTAATTACTGCTTATTTGTTGCATATTTATTGCTTAATTACTACTCATTCATTGTGTATTTATTAGGAAGTTTATGTTAATGAGAAAGAGGAATATGAGGATTACTGTAATTATGGCCAAAATCTTAGTTTTAGTGTTTGTAAGGATCATCACAGTTACTGACCAAATTCTAGAAAAATAAAATCCAAGGACTTTGTTTGTTCAAAAGCTAGTTTCAAGAAGATGGATGATCTTAATATCTAAAGGAAATATCAGAAATCAAACACCCAAATTGGTTGTTCAGCTATGATTAAGTTTACAGTGAATGAAGCTGGATATTAGAAAGTGAAGAAATTTATTGAAAATCATAATCATGATTTGCCTAGGGAAAAAGACCGGCATCTACTTAAATCATATAGGAATATGTGCGATGAAAAAGCTTCAGCTCTTAAATCAATAACAGAAGACGGGATAAGAACCATTGATGCATTTTCCTTCCTTACTGATGAAGTTGGAGGTGTCAATATTATTAGATTCACTAGGAGGGATGTGTACAACTTTATTCAAAAAATGAAAAGAGCAAAGATTAAAATTGGGGACACTAATACATTCAGTTATTTAAAGAACATCAACTTGATGACAACATATTCGCTTAGGATATCAAAAATAATGAATTTGATATATTGTTAATTTTTTTTGGGTTGATGGGATTGGTAGGATAGATTAAGACTGTTTTGGTGATCTGGTAATTATTTATACAAGTTATAGGCTTAATAAGTATAATTTGGTATGCACACCATTTGTCGGGGTCAATAATCATTTGCAAAACATTTTGCTTGGATGGCCTTCTTATCAGAAGAGACGATTGAATCATTTATGTGGTTGTTTATAACTTTTATGCGAATGATGGGTGATAAACAACCACAAAAAATATTTACAGATCAAGATTAGGTAATGGCTAGGGCCATAGAAGTTGCATTACCTCACAATCGCTATAGATTATCCCAATGGCATATTTGTAAAAAGGCTCCATCAAAAGTATCATGTTTCAATAGCAATAACAAAGTCAAAGGCCTCTTCCATAAGTGTTTGATAAAATGTGACTCTCAGGAGAAGTTTGAGAATACATGGGTTTAAATGATCATAGAAGGGAACCTCCACGATCATGTTTGGTTGGAGGATCATTATAGGATAAGAGATAAGTGGTCAACAACCTTTAATAAGGATTGT